ATGGGACACAGTGACAGTGATGGCTACTGCGAGATTAACGGGTGGGTAGCACATAGAGCACGGACACGCTGAACAGAGGGATGGCTCCTCCCAGGTGGGATGACATCAGGCCTGATCGTCATGCTACTCAGAACAACAAGCAATTTAAAACGTACTAACTGGCCAGATTGGTAGAGCACACCTGCAATGCTGCTTCTCAGGAGGCTTGCAAGTTTAAGGCCAGCCTGTGCTACATAGCAAGACTGTCTCTAAATAAAAGTGGTATAGTACCTGCTTATCAAGTGTGAGGCCCTGCGTTCAAACCCCAGTACCACCAATAAATGAACAAATAAACAAATAAATAAAAGGATAGGAGATGAGTTCAGTGATAGAGTACTTGCCTACCACAGATGAGGCCCTGGGTTCAATCTCTAGTACTGAAAACACACACACATGAATTGTTTATTTCTGGAGTTTTCCATTTAATATTTCTGGACTGCAGTTAACTATGGATAACTGAAGCTGCAGAAATCAAAGCCACAGATAACAGGTGTCTACTACACAGGCACAAACACAGACAGAGAACAGACACAGACACACTAAGGCATGTACACTTATGGGCACATGGACACACAGATAAGGACACACACAGAGACAAGCCTTTGCTCACACACACACACACAGATCTACATCCAGACACACACAGACACACAAAGACAGACACACATAAATGCACACTTAGACACAAAGACAGACAGAGAAACCGCCTGAGAGAAATGCAGAGGAGTTCAAAACATGTGCAGACAGGTTTAACTCCGGGGAATAAAATTCAGAAATTCCTTGCTTTAGCCTCTACTAATAGAACTTTCTACAATAAGTAAGCAAAACAACTAACAAAATCCCTGCAATGGGAGGTTGTTCTAGAAGAGGGTAGCTTCCTGGTGGGCTGGGAACGTGGGGTAGGCAGTGAGAGGATGGCCAGGGTGGGCCTGACCCCTGCACCAGGAATTTCTAGCCAGCTCTCCCTGCTTGGGGACTTGGGACAGTCTCCCTTCATGGAGATTTCCATGAACTATAATTTGAAACACAATCCTAAATATTAACTTGATATGCAAGTTCACAATAATCAGAAATCAAGGTCCCCAAACCACAAATTGACATTTTGCTGTAAATCGTCAAGTTTTAACAATGTCCCTCTACTTTTGGGTTTTAAAATTCATTATCTTTGAATATTAATATTACTACGTTAAGAATCACCCCAAATCCAGCATTTCATATTTAACTGCTTATTTTAAATGGAATTAATTTGTAACCAATTGTCTTCAAATATGCAAGGCAATTTAACTGAATGCCAAAAGAAAAGAAATATGCTTGTCCTGAACAACCAGCTGATGTAAAATGTGGGCCATATTTCCCCTCGGACAATGGCAGGAAAAGTTCCTCTGTGACTGTACCCCCTCCTACACCCCCAGGACTCCTGGGCACAGATTCTGCCTCTGGGGTGTGGAATGCTCTTATGCCAGGGGGACATCCCCATTAAATGATGGAAACTCGATGGATGGGCAGTCATCAGCTCAGGTCATATGGCCCCTACAGACCATTGCTATCCCTATGGTCCTATAGTCAGTCTTCCTGTCTCAGGAAAATCTGCCCCAAAATCTACTTCCCCAGAGGATAACCAAGATCTGTCACGTCTGATCTGGTACCCAAGCCACAGGAAGCAAGTGCTCCAGGAGCCATGGTACCTGCAGCCTATGAGCCAGCTTCCCTGCAGAGCTATCCTCCCCAGCTCAGCTCCTCCCAGCCCTGCCCCACAGTCTAGCCCCCTACAACATGCCCTAGACAGGGCCTGGCAATGAGCACCTAACCCCACTCACTTATCCCATATACCACCAGAGCCCTTAGTGAGGTCGTCTTCCAAACTTTCCCCAAAAGGTTTGACCCTGCTCCAATCAGCCAAGCATAGAGCTGTGGCCTGGGCTAGACCCCAAACATTGCAGACTGTCATGGCCTGCTCCCTCTGCCCCACTACAATCGCATCAAGCCATGCCCCCCAGTGAGCCCAGGGACTCCACGTCCCCAGATCTCTCTGGCCTCCTGTACCAACCACCCTGTCCCTGCTTCCTTCTGCCTTCTGCTCCTGGCCTAGACTGTCCCCACCACTGAGCGCACTGGCACACTGCCCGCTGTGGACTGCAGATGACCTGGCTCTGATCCTGGGAGGCTGAGAAAGATCTGAGGCCAAGGGTGAGCCCAAGGCAGATGACCCCAAGATGCCACCCTTGGAGAGAAGATCACAGGCCAGCTACTCAGCTGGACCAGAGCCCAGAGGGTCTGGGGTGGATGCACAAGAAAGGACACTATTAGCCTCTTCCTCGTCACAGGCCACAGAAGAAAGGAGGCCAGAAGGGTCCATCAGGACAAACAGAGAAACTAAACCTGAAATTCTGGAAAACTGGAAGCTCAACCAAAACCCAATATGGAGGTATTTCAGAGAAGTTTAAAGGGGTCAAAAGCAAAACTCCCAGGAACAAGGAGGCTCATGGGACAGTGAGAGGTGACAGGGAGCAGAGCAGTTGAGTGCTGGAAAGTAGGACGACAGCAAGATTCATCTTGCTTAGGAAGCAGGCTATTATTATCCTAGCAAACAGCTGGAGACTCGCTCGGCAGGCAGCTGGATGTGGTCATGAGCCACAGAGGCCCTGAAGAACAAGGTCTCTCCCCAGCCTGGCATAGAGGCCAGGGGGTGGCAGAATTGAGGCACTGACCACCGGGTGGGTGGGAGGCAGGGAGTTGAGCGACCCACGGCCCAAGAACACAGACGTGACTCTCTAAAGTGGAGAGCTGGGGGCACCTGCAGGTAGAGGTCAGGCCCCTAAGTCAGTTACCATAGCCTGTAGGGTAGGGGATATCTACTGAAGGCTCCTGCCCCAGCAGAGCAACTCTTGAGGGTGGAATTACACAAAGGGGACTCAGTAGATGTGAGATACAGGGGGACAAGGCTGCTAGGGGACCAAGAGGAGAGAAAGTGCCATTAGAAGGCTGGGGACTCCAAAGCAGAGACAGGTGTGAGGGCCTTCCATTGAGCACACAAGCCAAGGCGGGGACCTTAGCTACCAGTCCATCACATGTGGAAACTACCCACACAGCATGCACCAGGAAAGCCGCCTCCCAGCCCAGCCCACCAATTATGGGGCTTGGGGGCATTACAGCCCCATCTGGACTGGACCATGGGTTGCAATAGGATAGCCAAGTGCAAAGGGACACGGTGCAAAATTCAGGCAGTCCCTGACACTCTGAAGTCTTCAAATATCCACTGGATGGAGCATGGGGTTTGCAGGACTCTGGGAAGGGCTATGGGGACTTGGAGCCAACAGGGCACAGAAGCTGGGGTCTGTCTAGAAGAGGGGGAGATCAGAGTTCATATCAATGAATCCTCCCAGTGAGATGGGATGTAGCCTGGACTTCTGTACCCAACTGACATGATGACAGCCCTAGGGCAGCCTACCGCCTCACCTGCCTCTCTTGGTGACACCTCACAGAGCAGCCAGCGCAGTTCTGCCTCACCACCCACTGTCCTGGTCCCAGGACAACTCAGCACCCCTGCAGCAGAGACACCACAGCCCACTCTCACTGCCATGCAGGAGTCTGGGCAGTAGCCATGCTGGAGCCCACCTGGCCAGCTGGACAGATGTGAAATGAAGCCCTCAGGGCAAGGGGACTGGACCACAGTCTGCTGTGGGCAACTGGTTACTGAGCACCAGCTCTGTGCAGGCCCCAGGTAAGCAAGATCTCCTTCAGTCCTCACAAGCCAAGCAGGACCACGTTACACATGGGTAACACAAGGCCACAGAGCCAGGCAGTGCGGCAGCCAGCAGGGCAGTCTCTCCTCAGTCAGGGGCTTCCTTCAAGGCAGCCCCAGTCACAGAGATGCTGGGATACATCCATGGTGCTGGTCGCAAAGGTGAGTGGGGCACTGGGATGCAGGCACCTGGCAGGATGGGGAGACATGGGGAGGCTGGGACCATCCTGGGGAGAGATGGTGGCTCCACAGTCAGCATCTCAAGGCTGGGTCAATCACCACCAGCTGCTTCAGGCAACCTCTGGGGAGGATGTGGAGATTTGTATGATGAAAAGAATCAAATCCAATACCCGCTCCCCTGCCCCATAGCTCTTATCACGGGGGAAGAGGTACATATTCATGAGCTCATAGTCCTTTCTAATCACCCTACTTCACACATGCAGGTCCCCGCAGCTCAGCTCATACATAATTATAAGCCTCTTTCTTGTCACTGCCTCTGTTCACCAAAGGACGACAGAGGACGCAAGAATGTGTGGCAGGAGGGCACTGGGGGCCCAGATTCAGAATCACCACTTGTCCATGCTTGGGACAGTGGGGATCTCCCCTTTAGGGCTCATCTGTAGCAACAGCAGCCCAGCCAGGCAGGCTCACAGACCCCAGGACCAGCCACCAGCCAGTCTGGAGACATGCGTAACTGGCAGGTAGCACTCTCTGGGGGCCGTGGGGTGACAGTGACAAGGGCCCTGCTCACCCTCTCCTGCCTAGAGAGGCCTAGAAAGGGGAATGGCTCCCCGAGCAGGGTTGGGGTTCTGCCCAGAGCTAAGCTAGGGAGTGGGGACAGGTAAAAGGGCACATGGGGGCATTGCTGAGAGCTGGCTGGAACAGCTTAGTGGCCACGACTAAGGCGGGAAGCAGGGGGTACAAATGGCAAAAAGTGTAACAGAAGCAAAGACTACAGAGCTCAGAGCTGGCCTCTGGTACCCAGCCCACTACACAGCCAGGGCCCCTCAGCACTTCCAGCATGCAGCAAGACGCAGAAGGGCACCTTCCTGAAAGTGAAAGGTGAGTAAATACAGCTATTTTTCTAAACACTTCCTCATCTAACTCCATCTTCAGAATCCTCCTGTACGTCACGTCTCGTGCTCAGACTGGGAAAGTGCTAGAGAGAGGGTGAGTCAGCGTAGTAGTGGACAGGTGGCCCCGGGGTGCCTGGACTCACTGGCTGATGCCCTCAAAGGACGCTTCCCGGCAGACGCTGCCGCTGTCCGTGTTGACGCCACGCTGGAGAGAAAAGGGAGAGAGAGAAAGAAGGAGTGTGAGGACAGGAGGAGCTCAGGATGTAGGAACAGAGAGCCCCACCCCAGCCCTCCTGCCTTTCTCTGACAGACAAGCCCCGGTCAGGTAGGTCCAAGCCTTCAAGACAGGACCCGTGTGAAGTCCACCTGTGTCCCTCTCCTCTTCCTAAATTGTAAGTCAGGCAGAAGTGGAGACCAAACAAGGGTTCAGAGAAAAAGTGCTGCTTCCAGAGAGGTGAGGCCACTGCTTTCTGAAGGACTTGGGGCTGACCAATGTCTAACTGCATACCCAAATAAAACACACAGGCCCCCTTGGACCACAATCAGAGCAGAGCAGACACCAAAATGGCAGAGCAGAGCAAAAACATCAGATGCTAAAAAAGTAAAGTAACCAAGAACTACTCCTGTAAAAACCAGCTAAAAAAGGAGAAAAGTGTCCCTTTGGGATGAAGAAAGGCTCGTGTGAAACTCTCAAGGTCACAGACATGCCTTCCAATAGGACACATCCCATAGCCCAAGTATCCCCAAGCCTGCCTGGGCACCAGAAGCCCACCCAGCCCCAGCCTATGCCCCATAGCCTGGCTGCCTGGAGGGCAGATGGAGAAGGTATGTTTTTCAAATTCTATTAACAAAGGAAACATGAGGTGGGAGTAAACTAACCTTCTACATCTCTAAAGCCCACAAGCTCAGCTGGACATGTCTACACCTCCAGCTGGGTTTTAACCCTGAATGCATGTGGTGCCTTTCCCACTGTGGCCAGGACACAGCCACATCCCAGGGAGACTCAAGGACAGGGTCTTGGGAACGATCAGCCATTTGGACTGAGTGGGTGTCATTACTTAATACCTATGACCATTCCTCTTGGTTTCTTACTCCTCCCCTACAGCTTTCCAGAAACCCCTCAATGCTAAACACTGCCCAGCTCCTGGACACTAGACACTTACCAAGGTGAGAAGGACAGAGGGACTCCGTGATGTCAGGACACTGGCAATCTGAAAGTCCAGAAAGAAAACCCGTTTTAGAGTAGTCATGAAGTTCGATGGAGATGACATGCCACCATTACTTAACGACAGCGCACGTTTGTGAAGCTGGCCCTTAAAACAGGTGGTCCCATTATCCCTATCCTGCTCGTGAGGACACCAGGGCTTAGAGAAGCAGAAGGAAGTCTGAAAGCCACCCAGCTATTAAGTGCTGGAGAGGGCCTTAATCCTAAAGCTGGCAGACTCCCCACCAGGCATCTCGTGGATCCCTGGCTCCGAACAGCCAGACCTGCCCACTCTCTATGCCAGCACCTCTGCCCACCTGCCCAGCCCCTCCAGAAAGACCCATCCCATTAGGCACAGGGCCTACCAGCCTCCCTCCCTGACCCACACTCATCTCAGAGGCAGAGAAGTTGGCTTTACCCAACTCCACCCCATACCCCACTGTCCAGCCCTCCAGCTCCTCCCCTAGCACCTTAAGTGATCATTACCAAGCTCACTTCTCCATGCCCCTGCTCAGGCCGTTACCTCTGCAGACCCGCCCTCCTCTACCATCCTCGGCAGCCATCCACCCCAGGCAAAGGACCCATCACACATTACCTGTGCCACCTGCACTCTCAGGGTCCTGGCCACCCAGCCGGGAGCAATTTTGTCCTCTCCCAACCCCACCTTCAGTCTGCCTTGCCTTATATGTTGTCTCCTCCATGTCCTGCTGGATCTGAGCCCCTCTTTTACACCCTCATCAAAGGGAGAACAAGGAGGACATGCTGATTTAACAGACTGGCTGACCTGTCACCCATGTCATCTACTGCACATATTTAAAGTGGACGCTTTGATAAGTTTTGACATATGTATATATACACACACCCTTTTTAATACAGGATGCGCCCAGAGAAAAGCTGGGATACACTGAGAATTATGTAAAGATAAAATGCACCTGCAATCCCATCCCCAGAGACTTTTTAGCTCTCACATGAAAACAGAGATCTGTAATGACATTTGGACCATATGAAATTATACACTTCACTTATTTCCTGTCATTAAATATTCTTCAAACACACAATTTTTAGCAGTTACTACCACTGGGGACGGTAGATGCTCAATAACTCTTTGATTACAGCTTGCACCCGTCATCTTACACACGTCATCTCATTTAATCACCCATAAAGATGGGGCCGCGAATGTCCAGATTCTGCAGATGAGAAACGCTTGTGCAACAGAGACCCTGCTCAAGCTCAGAGTTAAAGGCAAGCAAGGTCCAGATCTGAGCCTATGGCTGGGTGTGCATAATTTATTTATCCTTTCCTCTAGTGTGCACTTGTTGTTTCCAGTGATTAGCTATTATCAATAAGGCTATGATGAACATCCTAGTATATAAGGCTTGATCTCCTTAAAATTCTATTCCTTAAAAAGTTTATTTCCTAGCTGGGTGTGATGGTGCATATCTGTAATCCCAGCACTTGGGAGGCCAAGGCTGGAAGGATCACAAGTTTGAGGCCTGGCTGGGCTACAGGGTAGGTTCTAAGCCAGCCTGAGCCATGAGACCCTGTCTCAAAAAAGAAAAAAAAAAGTTTATTTCCTTTAAAGCAAAAAATCAAACGACTCAGGTGAACTGCTCAGTCAAAAGCCATATAGTCTGTCGAGGTTGATGTCCACAGCCAAGTGACTCCAGATAGACAATAACTACCCACCCACCCACCGTGCATGAGGCTCCCTGGATCCTCCCCCTTTCACTCAGCTGCCTGAGCCCCTCAGCCTGTGCTGCACAAGTGGAAGGAAGGCCTAGCTGCTTCTGTCCTCCGCTCAGCTCCTCTGTGAAGGAAGCAAAGCTGTGTGTCAGGCCCTGGGTGTGCTGTTTCCTTGACAGGAAGGGTCCACATTTGTCAGCACACAACCATCCTGTCAATTACAGCATCCGACTCAGAGAGCGAGAAGGCACTTGGGGATTGTATCTGCTGTTGTCCTTGGGAGAGGGAGCAGGATAACTAATGTCCCCAACTGCCCTCGGACGTGCCAGTTAGGCATAATGGAGGAGAAAGTGGCCCTGGGTGCATTGTCTGATGCTCAGACAGATCGAGGCCCGACACAGAAAGCAGGCAGTGCGTCTGTGAATCCTGGTGGGGCAACACTGTTTACTGATCACAGAGGCTTGAGTGGACCCCAGCTACCCCTGCAGCTGCAAAACCTTCTCCAGCCTGGCAGCCCTGTCCGTCTTCCCCATGGAGACCAATTAGCACACCCTCAAAAATTAAGGGAAAAAGACATGGCTGTGGGTCCCTGGCTCCAAGCACACATAACAGCATGGTGCTGTCAACCCAGGGCCTTGCTGCCACTAGGGACCCGTGAGCGCTCCATAAGCTCTCCCCAGCCAGTGCTGTTCAATGCCCTGCTTTGCTCCATGCCACAGCCAGCACCCATCTCCCAGGCAATGGTACAGGGGCACCCACACAATTCGTCAGAGCGCTGGGGTCCAGATCCTGCCCTGGGGACAACCAGAGGCTTCCCACGGGCTCCCGCACACTCTGCTAGCCAGGCCCCAACTGGCCTTCTTCACAAAGGGATGAGACACTCTTCCGCCAGCACTGCTGAGAAAGCCTGTGTGGCTCCAGAGGGCTGGGCTTTGCCCTGAGAGCACTGGAGCTCTGCAAAATAAACCATCGTTCACATGGTCTTTTGAAACATCAGAGCACACTAATAGCCTGCCATGCTCTTATAATGCTGAATTTGTTCCAAAATGGATGCATCATGAAGACTATGGATGACAGCTGCTTTTGGGCAATCGGGGCATTGACCCAGGCCACAATCCTGAAGAGTGGGGCCCCTTCCTTCCAGTCCCACCACAGACCCCACCACCCCCTGATGCCTCTCCATGGTAATGAGAGGCAGGTGGCATCCACCTCTGGGCTGCTGGGATTGTTCTTCTCACAACCATCCTGTCTGACCCCAGTGCCGTCAAATATCTGGCAGGCACCAAAAAGGAGAGCAAGTAAACAAAACACACCCTCAGTCCACTGGCTTCTGCACTGGACCCAGGCGGCAATGCCACCAAGTCCCTCCCAAGGGTCTCCTGGGTGTCCCTTCCCAGGGGAGCTACTTCTCAATATTTAAACACATGCTCCTCCTCTGCTGGGAGGGCCAGGCTTGCTGTCTCAGACACCTGCATTTTATATTCAAAATCAAGTGACCAGCTGTTTGTGTATGGGGGGGGATGTCCTTTTTCAGGGGGGACAAGCTGCTTGTGTCTGTGATTTGTGATGACAGCCAAGTTAGATAGGGCTGAGCCCTACAGAACTGGCTTAGGATCCCTTTTACCTGCCTAAGGGGCCTTCTGTCACCTTCCATAATGAAACAGGTCTCAGTACCTCCGACAACCCGGGAAACAACTCCTAGCCCAGGGCTGCTCAGCCCAGCAGCCCCTATCTTTTGGTAGAAAATCAAAGGTGTGTGGGAGCCTGGGTCACCTCCACAGAAACGTCCTATAGCAGCCACTTATTTCCAACAGGGAAGGTGAAAGGCTGGAAGGCAAGGCCTCTGGAGTCTGCAGGTCCTGGGGTCACTCCAATGCTGACACTCCCAGCTGTGGGAGCCCAGAAAAGGCCCTTTGCATTTCAACCTCAGCTTACCCAGCTGCAAATGGGGTTGCAGCTGTGGCTCACCAGAAGACAGAGCAGGAGAGATGAGAAGATCCCACGCAAGCCATCACTGTTACGGGGACCTGCAGGTGTGAACCCAGAGGGAAGCACATGCTCTGCTATTAACGTGAGCACTTGCTTCCAGTAAGAGCAGTGACCACAGTGATCAACAAAACTGACCAACAATGACAATAATGAAGACAGTGCTGCAGAACCCTAAAGAAACTGTCCTCGGAACACCACTGAAGCCTTCATCTAAAACCCTGCCTTATAATAAAGATTAAGAAAGAGCCAGTTGCGTGACTATCATTAAGAACTTCCCTGTTCTGACACTTAACTTTCCTGTACTGTCCTGCATTGGGAGACCAGTTCTCCTTCCCCTCCCTAGAAATCACAGCATAAATGGAGTTGAATTTCTCTGAGATACAAAGACAAAAATGGCAAACTGGGAGGCTGCAGCCCAGATGTGGTTCTGACTCAGTAGTGGAGGGCCGATGTGGCTGGAGCCCATCCCAGGTCCCTGAGATAGGGGCCATCCTGGCAGCTTCCTCCAGTTTTTATACTGGGGACACTGGAAGGGCCAAGGTCCCAAAGGGCATAAGCTGCACTTTATGGAGACACACCTGCCAAAGGATCAGGAACAAAATTAGAATTAAAGATGATGAGGTCCCTCCCTCTCTAGTGCTTAGAAATATAAAGTAGCAAATGACCTCATTAGGAGTGTACAAACAACTGTCCAGCCTATTTTATTTTAGATCCTGTGCACCAACACGACAGGCCACTTGTGTGCAACAGGCTCATCCATGCTATGAGTCACCCTCAAAAGGTTGGTTTTGAAACCACACGACATAAGCATCCATTACCAGCTGGCCCTCTCTCCATGGTCCAACTGGGCAGAAGGTACTACAGTCAAGACCCCCGTGGACTGCGGCTATGAGTGCTTCTCCTTCACTGAGCCAGTCCTGGGGAGCCCAGACCAGGCACTACTGTGCTTCAGTGACCCTGCCCAGTGTGTTACGTCCTGTGCTGGACCACACCCCATGCTGCTGGCTACAGACCTGCTTCTCAATCACCTGACGCCCTGTACATCCTTGGGACTGGGCAGGGAGATTACGAAAGGAATGGCTGGGGAAAAGCACTAGGCCTTCTAGGCAGACCCGAAACAACCAAGTACAGGGTGCAGATCAGAGCCCAACCAGTGCCTACAATGTCACAGTGTCCTGAGAGCTCAGAGGCCGCCCAGTGTAGACCAGAGCTGATTTGGGACTCAGGGAGCTGATGCAAGGCCATGAAGACTTGGGGAGGGAGTGGGGATATGGACAGGGAATGTGTTCTAGGCTTGCAGAACTGGAGGCAGACTGTGCCTGCCTTTGTACAGGATTGTGCAGAAGCCAGCTTGCGTGGGCTTAAGGTGAGCTGTCCACCCTCAAGCAGGCTGGGCCAGGCCTGAGGCTGAGCAGAAACAGACTGACTCCTCACAGCACCATGAATCTGACCAGGAACCCTGGAACCTGCTTCCCATCTGGCGTTATAACCCTGACAGTGGCTGTGTCCTGCCCAGGGCAAGTGGTCGCTACTTGGTCCAACTGACCAGATCCCCTAGCCACTTCCACAACACAGCCTCAGCTCTTGGTATGTGCATACTCAAGCTGTCTGGAGAAATGTGGCCACAGGGCCCTATCCAGCTGATCCTACCAGGTCAGGTTGACCTCCAGTAATAGATGCTGACTTGTGTGTGTTTCACATTCTGTCCAGCACAGCACATGGACACTGTGACAGCAGAGAGGCCTGCTGTGTGCCAGGCAGCGGGACTTGGTCATTTGCTCATTAGACCCCAGGAACCCTCAGCTCTCACCTCAGCCTCAGTGGAAGTCAGAGGAAGCCCCTTTGGTCTGCCTGGATTTAGGACAGATTCAAAGCCCCCAGGACAGACACATATCCAGACCACACGACACCTGCTGAACAATCAGGCTGGGAAGCGGATTCAAGTCAGGAAACCCAACTCCAGCCCACCCCACCAGCCGTTCCCAGTCCCGGGCTCTTCTGTCAATGGACAGAAGTCTGGCCAGGGCCTCTGAGAGGCCTCTCGACACATGGAGGCCCAGGCCAAGCCCAGGATGACAGAGAGACCTGTCCCTGCTGTAGGGAGGCCACCTCTCAGAGATGTCCTCCCCTGGTACATCTTGGTGGCCACACTCAAGGTGCCAGATGCCGCCACTCAAATCAGAGATGCTGCCCCAGTCAAGAAGGAGGTCTGAGGCGTATGCTCCCGGCCCGCTCTTTCTAACTGGGGGCACTGCAGGGGACTGGCAGCCAGATCGTGTCCCCAGGCTGTGGCAGTGGGAGGGGAGAAGTCCAGAGCAGAAGAGTTCCCAGACACCCAGGACTGCTACAAGAGGAGGTGGCCACTGCTTACCTCATCCGTGTACACGACATCATCCACGGCATATTTCTCCTTGAAGTATTCCTTAGAATGGATCCTCAAAGGAAAACACAAGGAATGCCAGGGTAAGGGTGTGACAACAGCTCAGCACAGCCATCTCCCTGCCCACTGAGCCCAGCACCCACCCACCAGCCTGGCACCAGACACCAAGCGGGTCTGCCAAGCACAAACCTGGGGACAAAGGGCATTGGCCACGGAGTGGTGGAAGCACATTGGCCTCCAGGCCCGGCTGACGTCCACTACTCAGTGCCCAAACAATGCCCCTTGCTTCCACCATAGCTCCCCACAGCAGAGAGCCCACGGGCAGTCAGTCAGCATGCCCCACCTTCTGGGCACAAACTCATCTGTGCTGTGAGGGAGTCTCTTTTGAGGAGAGTTAACAAGTTAGCATTTTAAAGATGCCAACATCAGGATCACTCAAGTGATGAGAAACATTCAAGCTTACTCATCAACCTGGAAAAATTGACCCAGGAGGAGATGCAGCAGAGATAAGGCAGAGGTTGTGCGACCTTGGCCCACCTCGTGAGGCTTCACCCCCTTTCAGTCCAGCAGGCCACCACCCCCAACACTGTTGCCGGTCGACAGATGAGTCAGTGTCACTGTCGGTGACACAGCTCTCAGACAGAGGAACACTTAACTGCATCACCAGCCAAGTATAGTGACGCACGCTGTAGCATCCTACACACCTGGTCACATGGGGAGTGACCCCATCCTCACTCCACCTCTCCCCCCACCCCCCACAGACTGCTGTGGTCTCCCAGCAGATGTGACATCCAACAGAGGCCTGGGACAAAACACAGCAGATGGGTTTCAGGTTCTGCCTCCTGGGCCTTTGGGTGTGTAGCCGGGGGGAGGGGGTTGGACCAGGGAGCCTCAGATAAGCAGGAGGGAGAGAGCTTTACACCCTAAGTGCCACCTTCAGCCTCTGTGACATGAATGGTTAGCAGCACTACCCAGGACCAGAATCCCACAGCTGTCTCTGCCTCCCCCACTCCTCTCTTTACCCAAACAAACATCCCAAGCTGACTGGCAGAGGTCTGGGCCACAGGACCAGGGCCAGCAGAGAGCTCACAGCTACCCACAGAGAGCTGAGCCAGGTAGGAAACCCACATCGGGCAGGGGAGCTCTGGTCTCACAGACATCCGCTGCTCACTGCAGCGCAGAACGCCCTCTGCCTCTTCTCTGAAGCGATCACTGGGCATCAACGCCTTGCCGTTAATTAGATTTGCACAATTCAGTCACATCAACTTCCATGTCTGAGACAGGACTCAAATGTTAAATGGCCAAGGTCTGACACTTCCATTAACAGGGCCTCGAGCAGCAGACAGGGACTGCCACCTCTCCAGGATCCTGCAAGGCAGTGCAGCGGGCAGGGGAGCTCACAGACCCCTCACTCCTGAGCAGTAAGGCCCACTCAGTGCTGAGGGTGAATGAGACAGAAAGCAAGCAGCAAGGCCATTGGTCAACTGTGCTTCTGGACGTCTTCACCACAGCCACTGACTGCCCCCCACACAAACTTCATGACAGGCACCAGCATACTCAGCAAGTCCCCAGCCCACCTCCAGCCCCAGTCACTTGATCACCTCCAGTTGTGACAGGCGTGGAAAGCAAACTCCTAACAGGTTCAGGAAGCACAAAGGCTCCAATTTCAAGGCCAGCCTCCTGGCTCCTTACAGAGGAGCAGCAGTATGAACACCCGATCTTCTCCCCTCCACTCCTGGAGGGGCTCAAAACCTCCCAGGTCACCAAAAAATACTTCCTTCTTGGGGGAACTGCCAGGAAACATCCTCTCTCCCTTCCTACCCTCCCACCCCAGGCCTCAGACACTCAGGAGACCAGAGGCCTGAGGAGGTCTCTGGGCTTAACAACATGGAACCAGAGGAGGTGACAGCAGAGCGAAGGTGATCACAGGGGAGCTGGGACCTGTGGCTGTCCCCTAGGCTGTGTGTTTACCTATTCACTCACCTGGTGGCCATAAGTCACTCTACTGCCACAGAAGCCAAGGCAAGGCAAGGGCCAGCCAGTCCTGGGAGAGCCTGCTGCTACAGCCCTAACATCAGGGAAAAGTAGACACGGCTCCACCCCACTAAATGCCTTGGGCCAGGCAGCCCTTGCCCTCCTCAATGAGGCGGACGACACAGTTCAGAGGCAGGGCAACCTGGGCCTCCAGTGTCAAAAGGCACCTCCTCACTGACAGACCTCAAGGGAGAGCCACAAGCACCTTGTCTGAAACTGTTTCCTCCTTTTTTTAATTTTTATTTTTTTGGCACACTGGGGTTTGAACTCAAGGCTTCATGCTTGCTAGGCAGGCCCTCTACCTCGAGTCCCTGTAACAGCTCTATTTTTTTTTTTTTCCCGTTTTCTTTTTTTAAAGAGCAAAGATAATTAAGTTTGAATATTAGTTATTTTTTCATAACTTGGGGGTTAATTATAGAAAAATCATTGAAATGTCACCTGAAGGGATCTGAATGCCTGGCTGTCAGATGAAAGAAGCCACTAAAGGCTTAGCAGCCATAATTTGACTGGTTTGATGGAAAAAGGAGTGACATGTCCACACGAGACCTGGCTGGAGATGTCACTGGGTAGCTCTGATCCCACCGAGGGCCAGGTAGGCCAGAGCAGGGGACGGTCACTTAGAGGGTCCGCACCCCACTCCATCTGGGACCTGGGGTCCAGAAAGTACAGATCATGCCAGGCCCCATCATACAGGAGATCCAAATAGAAAGAACCAGACCAAGAGAGATGCGTCAAAAAGGAAGCTGACCCCACCCTCAACACACCCCTTCAAGTGCAAGGGACAGCAGTGGCAGGAGAGAGAAGTCCCCTCACTTGATGGGATTCCCACCCTTCAGAGGGGCCTGCATTTGGGGGCCCTGTCCCAGGGAGGCTGCTCTTCCACAGCCTGGGTTCCATGAGCCCCAAGGCAGAGCCAATGCCTCCTCACGGGCAGCGAGCACCAAGACTCTGAGCAAGGACTCGGGTGGGAGGAGACGTTAAATCAATGCCATACACTGCAGCCACAATGAGGCTTTCTAGAAAATGAAATTTCAAAGAGCAGGCCTTGGCGTCTAGCTGACCACCTGCATATGGTTAATGAATAAGTAATAGGGCCAAATTACAGCAGTCACCATCAATTTCCAGCCCCCAAGCCTGCCTTCAGCTCTAAACAATGGCTCTGCCTTTCATTCGGCCAGTGGTGGGACCCACGGCCCTTACTCCTGAGTCAAGTCGGAAGCCGTTACAAGACGTCATTAGGTTGTCAAAGAGAAAAGCAGCTCTCTGAAGAGCAGCTCGGGCACATCCTGCCTGATCCTGGAGACCTCTCCTGTGCAGGTGACACAGTGGCAGTGTACACTCAGCCCCAGCTCAGAGAGGCCGGGCAGAGGGAGAACGGCCGCAAAGGAGAGCTAAATCAGAGGCCCGTGGGGGTCAGCACAACCTCTAAAGACCTGACTGGAGTAGGGGAACATCTGGTGCAGGCTGCCCAGGAAGAGCTAAAGGAACCCCATCAGCCTCCTCTCAGGAAAATCTGTGCCCCTCAAAGAAAGCCCCTGTGCCCCTGGTAATAGAAGGGGCCAGGATGAGGCCAGAGAGATTCAGGAAGCCTCGGTCCTTGTGACTCAAGGTGTGTGCACAGAGGGCAGGGCCTTGCAAAACCACAGACACACTCTCCACACCAAACACACTACATAGGCCACACACATCACACCACCTTCCACAAACACCCATGCACACACACATGTGCACACCCCCATGCCCCTCCAGAACAGTTCCCATACCAAAAGCTGCTGAGCGCAGCCTCACGCCCCCAGCCCTGGAAGAGCTCACTCTGATCTCTCCTCCTGGGCATCCTGAGACTCAGATAGGTGCTGGCCGGGCAGGTGGAAAGGGAGCAAGCACCACCTCCCTGCAAACCCAGGCCAGCCTCTTGGTCTTTTTTGCATGATTTAGCCCAGTAGGGCAGGAAAGGAACTGGGCTAAACTGGAGAGGTTCTGTGAGGGTCCCACACCTTGACCCAAAACTGCTCCCCTTCCATGAACCCAAAGTTGTCCAGGTTGTTGGCTTACAGAGGCAATTTCCTGCCTTCTCTGAAGACCCTGGCCACCCCACAGTCAAAGCTGCCATCATCTGGACCTGGTTCTGACAGGTGATGGGGATTCTTACACATCAAAAAGACAAGCCTTTGCTCGCTTCACTCATAAAATGAATCAGACATGACCACCCCCCCTGCTCCAAAAAAGCCTGGGGCCCAGAACCCCCACCCTTCTACCCCACTCCCTGTTCCCACAACCCTGACAGCAGGAAATGGCAGTCAGGGGAGCTGTTTCCCCAGGTGACTGGACTGTAGTATCTACCAGATGGATTTTCAAAAGCCATCAGATAGACTGAGAAGGAAGCTGTGGAGCTGAAGGTCAAATGTTCAGTCTGGTGGGTTTTGATTGCAAAGGCCAGGTAATCCCATCTGCCTGGCTCCTGATGTCCTATTGATTACCAGAGTGTCTGGAAGCACATCAGACCTAGCCACTCCCCAGCTCCAGCCCAGACAGCCCACCCCTTTGTCTAGCAACACCCCATTACAACCAGTCTTTTCTCCCACAGACTTGGGATAGACAGACTCAGAGAGGTTACCCCAGAGCACAGGAAGGGAAAGCTGAGGTGTCTACAGCAACGAGCCCAGGCAGCAGGAAATAAGGATCTCTCTCCACTGTGGGGCCAGAATCCCACCTTGACGGAGGCTGCCAGGTCTGGCCTGCCAGTGTGCACAGTCTTCCCACCAGGGAGACCAATCCTGCATAATCACTTACACCCTCAAGGTCATCCCAAGCTGTATGTCTGCACTAGACAATGAGCTGGCTCAGCAAGGCAGGACCAGACTAAAGGAGCACTTTTAATAGCCTCTCTGGAACCCAGCTGCGGCCAAGGTGCAGCCTATTCTTCCTGTATTATTGAAGAGTACTCTCCAGAAAAAAAAACCAACTGCTAACAGCTGTCCCCTGACCAATCCGGTCCTGGGTTTTAAACTCTCAAGTCAAGTGCCATTTGGCTCTTCCAATGGGGGTGTGGGGAGACCTGAGAGATTCGCTCAGGTTTAGCCACTGGATGGTAGAGTACCCCAGACAGGACCAGGCCCCTTCTCCCAAAGTCCCAGAGGATGACCCTTTTCAACTCTTGGACAGGGACCCTCCCACTTCTTGCCAGAGCCAGGTCGTTGTAAGAAAACATAGACAGCAGAGCCAAGATGCACTCAGAGCTCCATCACCTCTCCAGACAGAAACCCCAGGCAGGGGCTGGAGGAATGGCTAAAGTGGTGGTGTACCTGCCTAGTAAGCCTAACTTCCTGAGTTCAAACCCAACCCCAGTACTACCCCACCTCAAAATGTATATTTTTTTGAGTATATAAGAAACTCCAGGCAGGGCCCTTCTGAAATCCCAATCACACCCTCCCTGAAGCCATCTTCCTCCACCACTGTCCCCACAGCGCACAGACAGAGGCATGTGCTCCAACTGCTGACCTGGCTTTCAGAGCAGTGGGACATCTTGGCAAGCTGTGAGCCCAGAGGAAGGGCTGAGGCCACAACTCGGCTCGTGTGCCCACCTCTTTGGAGAAAGGATTCTGGAAGGATCTTATGAGGTCAGATCTAAACTTTGTCAAGGTTGTTGCAGTTACCAGGTGATACAGTTTGCACATGAGGTGTCCCCAAAGACTTGTATATGAAAGGCTTGGTCCCCGATGCAGCAATGTTCAAAGATGGGGCCTAAGAGGGGATCGGATCAATGGATTAATCCACTGATGAGTTCATAACTGAAAGGGCTATTAAAAGCTGGGGGACATGTACCCAAAGGATACTTCGGGACCCTTGCTCTTTCTGTCTCTGCTTCCTGGCCACCATGAGGTAAGCAGTCTCCTATGCCACACACTCCTGCTGTCATGATGCTCTGTGTCACCCAAGTCAGTTCCACAGCAAGGGAGCCAGCCAACCATGGACTGCAACCTCCGAAACCATGAGCGAAAATAAACCTTTCCTCCCTTTAAATTGTTTCTCTCAGATATTCTGTCATGACAACAAAAAGCTGACTAACGGAGTAGAGCTGGGTAACAAACTAGCCTGACACCGATGGACTGGTGGCTCACGCCTGTAATCCTAGCTACTTGGGAGGCAGAGATTGAAAGGATCACGGTTTTTGAAGCCAGCCTGGGCAAATAGTTCTGAAAGACCCTATCTCAAAAAACCCTTCACAAAAAAGGGCTGATGGAGTGGCTACAGTGATACAGTGCTGCCAGGCAAGCATGAGATCCTGAGTTCAAACTCCAGTACTGTTCAAAAAAAAAGCTATCCTGACACTGAGTGAAGTAAAAAGCCATTTACCACGTTCATGGGCTCTCAAGGTCAGGAACTCAGAGCCCAGAGTATGGCTAAGCTCTCTGCTCCATGACACCTTGGACCTCAGTGGAAGACTCGAAGGGAGGCTTGTCCTCACCTGGAGGCTCACTGTGCTTGTGGCTGGCGCTGGGTATCAGCTGGGGTCTCTCTACGTGACTCGGTCTGGGCTTCCTCATAAACGTATCGTGTGGCAGCTGTGCTCTGAGCTGAGCACCCCGCAGGAGAACCAGATGGAAGTCACAGAGCACTTCCTTGGCTTCAGAAGTCCCACAGCACCATCTGTGCATTATTAAGGCAGTCAGGAGGTACTGACCAGGGTCAAGCAGGAGTGGAAACACATTCCACCTCTTGACAGCAAATCTCCAAACTCACTGTGGTGGCCATTTTTGGACATTACAATCTCCCCCTTGGCATCATCACACCACCTCATGTCAGTGTCACACCGAACAGTGCCCTGCCCCCCTCACCAGCCCCATGACCTTCACATGGAGGCCATGAGAACTGGCCATAGCTTAGCTTCTGATGGCAGCCCAGCAAGACCAGGCTGCGGGGCCAGCACAGGCTCCACCACCACATCAAGCCCATTTCCTCTTTCTAACAGGACAGTCATTAGGATTCAACCACAAATGAATACAGGTGGACAATAAGTGATGGCAGATTGAAAAGTACTGAGGTGAGGGCCTCTCTATGACAGCCCAACCCTCCTGCAAAGGCCAGCCAGATGGACGTCCATGTCCCACCCTCCCTCCAAGGGAAGCAGAACCTGCCTCTCTTCAGCTGGATCCTGCCAGGTGGTCCCAGAGCAGCACTGGTGCCAATTTCTGGGCCTGGACCCCTCACTCAAAACAGCAGAAGAGCCACCCACTGTGGCTCACATCAGAACTTGTGGAGTCTGCACTGAAGGGCACGGAAGGGGGAGGGGCATAACAGGAAGTTTGGGCCAGCCATGAAGGTCCCTCACCCTCTGCAAAGAGCCCAGTCCCCAGAGCAGTCAGGTGCCCTGTCACTCACACCAGTCACAGACTCACCAGCCTACCTGGTAATGAGTGTCAGGGGCTAGAGGCAGGGAAGGCTGTAATTTACACATTAGCCCAGAATAACCACTCTCGGGGCAGAAATTGACAGGCTGAAAGGTGGGGGTCCTCTGATCACCTCAAACATCCCTGGTGAAGCACAGCTTCTGATCCGTGCTATGAATGAGCAGGAACGGCTCCCGGAGGGCTCTAGAACTGGCAGGTACCACAAAGATGGGAAGGCCCAGCCTCTGAGCTCACAATGTCACAGGACACAGCTCCACTCTGTCTCACATAGGGGCTGACCTGAGGACAGACTCATCTGTGGCCAGAGGCAGGCATCAAGTAATGCCCTGCACATGGGTGATGAGCTTACAGAGGGCCCCACACTGTTCTCCCTGACCCCCACCAAACCTACCTGATCCCCTACCAAAGGACACATGCAGACCACCCTTGGCCAGGCTGTGCAGAAGGGATGTTCCACTGGGGCCAACACCTGCTATTCTGTCCCTCCCAGACACCCCCACCCACCGCCCCCAGTTGGCCTGTGGGCAACAGCCACAGCAACAAAACAGGGTCTGCTCCTTACTTTCCCATCCAGGTGGCATAGCTGGCAGAAGCCTGGGAATAAACAAGGTGGACTTCCCGTCATCAACAGCAATGGCACCATAGCAGCCAGACTCGATGACACCAAATGCCCAGTGAAAGAAGGACTCCTGTGGTAGGAATAAGGAGACTCGTTACCCAGTGACCAGGACAGAAACAAGAGGCACAGGAGAGAGGTGAGCAGAGAAGCAACACCTTCTTTCCAGGTAGCGTCTGACCCTCCTCCTCTCTGCCCCAGAGTCCCCTAGCTGCAGGCTGTCCACCTTGCCCCGCTGTGGCTTGGCTTGGCAGGGGCAGCAGAGGCTTCTCTCCCTGCCTCAGCAGGATTTGTGCATCTGTGCACACTTCCCCAGCCACACCCTCCAAGCCCACACAGGGCGCCCTCAAACTCCAAAGCCAACACCACCAAGCTCCACATGGATTCAGATACCAAGCCGGATTCACACCCAAATAGAGTCCCCACTCACTGCTTCTTACTCTCCCTCCCACTCCTGGGGGCAGCTGATGACATCAGTGTTCAGTCGTAAGCTCAAAGCTAAAATGCGTCACAAGGTATGAAGTGGAGGAGGAGCTCTGCTGAGCTCAACCCGAAATAACACCAGTCTGAAAATCGGTTTTTAAACCACAGATATATAAACCTCAAAATGCTTCCAAACCAGTCAGAAAAACTTCTCAGTGTTGCTAGAAGCCAGGGACCACAGGCTGCAGAATGATGGGGTGGACAGAAGGGGGGCCCTTCGGGTAGGAGGGGGCTGCCTATCCGAGACCCTTTGGGATTGTTCCTGGGAGAGGATCATGGCCCATCTGTGCCCTGCTGGGGCGGACAGGGACCAGCTGGGGAGGCCAGACCTTGCCACCTCTTCTGCACACTAGGTCCCCCTCCCCATTCCTCTGTCTCCTCTAAGGGCCATGGCCCCTAGGCTCTGTCTGCCCCTGGCAGGTTCTAGAGTTCCCACTGTGGTCAGGCAGCAGGGAGAAAAGGGCACTAGACATGGAGTCAGAAAACAGGGTTCTAAGCCAGCTGTGCCTGTGGCAAGTCCTTTCCCCTCTGGGCCTGAAAAGTGAGTTTGAGGCTAGGATCAACAGGAGCGAGCCCAGCTGTGGGCCTCACTGGCTTCCTGGGCAATGGTCCTTGTTTCTGGAAACTGAGAGCAGCTGGTAATTATGAGGCAAGGCCACCACATTTAGCTGCACACCACAGGGTTCTAGAACCTCAAGGAGCACCTGGACAACTTCCAAGGAGAGGAAATGAGGCCCAGCGAGGGCTACAGGGGTGAGCACTGACCCAGCTGCGAAGAAGGCCAGGGCCTCTGACTCCTGCTCAGATGAACAGACTAGTCCCACATCTCCTCCCACTGTCCTCCCTACAGACATCTGGTCAGTGGCCCAGCCCACCCCTAGCTTGCCCACTCCTGTGCATACCACCTCCTGCCTGTCCAACCTCACCCTGGCCTTCCAGGTTCACCCCAAATGAAGGCTCACCTCCTCCATGAAGTCTTGTGTGCTCACTCCTCCAGGAATGTCATCTGACTCTGCCTACCGCCAAGGCTGAGAAGGTGATGACTCCCCAGTGGGGGCTCCCTAGCCCCACACTGCCCCCAGAGGGCCTCTCCAGGGTCCCCAAGAGACAGCCCTGCCCAACCTGTCCCTGGCACTGGAGGCAGCCAGGCCAACAGGAAGCCAACAGGAGGCGGTTGCAGGCTCACCTGGCGGAAGATGATGGAGGTGTCTGTGCAGTAGCGCTGTGTCTCCTCACCACCCTGCAGCAGCACAACTGAGCCGGCCTGCACTGCCTTGTTCTTCCGCAGACGCTCACACAGGCGCTGCCTGTTCAGGGCAAAGAGCTCCAGGGGCACCTTCAGGGTCTCGTTCCCAAGAGAAAAGGAAGGGCTGTGAAGACAAGAGCGCAAGCAGGCCTGTTAGCACCTCCACCAACGGTGGTCTAGGCCTGCTGGGGACTCCCATAAGCACATGACAAGCCAGCCAGACTGGCTGCCCAAAGGCCACACAAACTTGTCATCCACACCCTGCTCTGTTGTCCCTAAGTGCCTGGCCCACCGTGGGGATGATGGACAGCGGGAGGACAGCTGAGAACCAGGAGGAAAAGCCTGCAGGGCTTAGAGATCCCATTCTACTGTCCTGTACTGAGGGCTTGCCATCTGCTTGGAGCTTCTGTGGGGCAGGAAATGCAAGATCTGACCCAGGCAACACAGGCCTGCCACCATGCACCTGCATTCTGTCCCCTTTCCCTACACTTGGCCGGCCTCACAGCCTGGGTTGGTTGTCACCCCAACAGTACACACACCCCAATGTACACACAGAGAGGGCACCTAGAGCTGAGTGACTGAGGAGGGACCACGCAAGATGGCCCTGGGAACAGGATGGCAAGGCTGAGGCTGCGGAAAGCCTCACCAGGTGTGGGGGAAGCCAGGTGCATCCTCCCCAGGATCCTCATGCCCTGCTGAGTTCCTGGTCACATCCAGGTCACACTCTCCAGACTCCCCATCTGCATCTGAATCCACCTGAGGCTTCTCCTCTACTAGTCTGTGGCCTGCCCCACCTCCACACCAATGCCTGCGGCACTGTCCCCTCTACAGGTTGTCCCCTTTCTAGAGGGTGAACGAAGGGGAGGAAGACAGGCAGTCCCCAAGCCTGAGGGACTGGCCAGGTGGAGGGGGCCAGGCAAGGGTGGCATGTGCCCGAGGAAGTTCCTGAAGGCACCCTGGAAGGGGACAGCAGGTGGCATGGAGCAAGCATAGAGGGCTGAGCCTGGGGACCACAGTGAAACTTCCCCTTGCCACACTGCAGCTGTGAGAGGCCTCTGGGCACCTCATGCGGGACCTTCAGAGGACCCCGCCCTCACACCATGGACACACAAGCAGGTGACACCTCCCAAGCATCCTGGCCCCAATGCCACCTTCTAAGGATGGCTGCCCTGGCTTCTCTCTTTGAACTCTCTCCTCTTGCCCAACCCCACTTGGCACTGGTCCTGCAGATCCCCACTGCCACCCCACTCCGTCAGCCTATGCCCCACCTCTGGCTCGGTGGTCTGAACTAAGAGGGCAGAATAGAAACCCTGCTCCCAATTCCATTCCCCACAGTCCATGAAACTAAATGGCCTGTGGCAGTCCCTCCTCACAGGGCCACAGCTCCACCCAGACCACCCTAGGCCACATGATAGCCCTACCTGGGGTTTTGAGCAGCTTCCTTCCCTCTGCCTCTTTCAAATCCTCTCCATCTGCCCTCAGCTCTGCACACTGACCCTGCAGCGAGTTGACACTTGCTGTTGTCACCCTTGCAGGAATTCCTAACTTCAGATAGGTCACTGACTACAACATGTACTCCATGAAACAGGCCTAGATACGTTGTGGTTGGTAGACACCCTGTGCCTGCACCCTGCCTGACACACAGCAAGCACTCAATAAATATCTGCTGAGTATACAACTGTCACAACTGACACTTGGGGCCACACTCCCAGCTGTGCCGCTCAGAAGGTGCCAAATCAGCTGGGTGGGGCAGGAGGCAGACCCTTGGGCAGCCTGGACAGGAAAGGTGGTGAATCAGAAACACACCCACACGCCCACAGGCTATAGCCTCACTCTCCCTCCCTGGCATGTGACCTTCCTTCCTCCTGGGAGGGTGGGCAGGTGGCTGGGTGGACCCAAGTGCCAGGCTTCCCCTAAGCCAGGGCTGCTTGTCTGCCATGCTCAGCCACAAGTGCGCAAGGGTGGAGGGATCTTGATGACAGCTGTGAACATGACTGGCTTCCAGCTGGCCCTGCCAGCAGAAGTGAAAATGCAGCCTCCAGCACACAAGCCCAGGGGACTCCCTGCCCTTTCCACCCATTAGGTAAAGCCCAAGGAGGGCATGGTCCCCATCGGCATAGAGGCAAAGACACTGAGCCTCTGATACAGATGACCTCATCCAAAGTCACCCAACCCTCAGCCTGGGCCGTCTTACCTCCCACCATCACCTCCCTCCTCAGGCACACCAGGTGCTTATCATACCTGCCTCCCACCTGGAAGACTCTCAGAAGGGCAGGGACTCTTGTCCAGAACCTTCTGAGACTTCTAAATTCCTAAGGCACCCAGATTGGGTTCCACTAGCCACTTTATATAAGCAACTTCAGCATCTGCAGATTTTGGTACACCAGCAGGGACCTGGAACCAATCGTCTCCATCCTGATGACTGCACTTACTCCTCCACAGGGCTCAGTCAGAACACAGTCCACCCTGTCCTGGGCTCTGGGCCTGAGAAGGACAGCTCAGCTTGAGCCACCAGGCAGGGTAACATACTGCAGACACTAATTATTACAGGACACTCCCAAAATCAAGGGTTATAGAGACAAGCCCTTTGATTTCTCTCAGCATAAGCCAAACCCGTAGAGAGACTGCCAGGCCCAGATCCAAGAGTGATTTCTACCTCCAAATTCAGCAAAAGCAGTATGAATAAAACATTTCCAACTGTTTTCTGATGGGCTTTTGCTAATCAGTCCTCAGAAATTAAAAAGCAAAGCCCTATCACTATCCCTGAGTCCCAGGGCAAAAAGGAACAGGCTACTGTAAGCAGCCACGGGCACTGATGACACACCGGAAGAAGGAGCAGAGGCTGGTGAAACAACAGAGCCTCAAAAAGACCCACAGAAAAGGCCCTCCACCCCCAAAACCACCAAGGCCCAGCAGGCAGCACAGAGTGACCAAGAATGGTGCCAGCCCCCAGGGAGACTGTGATGTCACTCTCCTGTATCCCATCCCCGTCCTATACCTGTGTATCGGTGCCCACCTCTCCTTTCTTCTCAGTCGTCACCTGTGGAGTTCTGATCTAAGGCCCAAAGACCTGGAGGGATTCACACACAGAATTTAGAAATTTCATGCACCATGTGGGAGAAAATTACACCTCAATTTTCTTTAACTTTCAATTCAGACTTATATTTTTTCAATTATGAATGTAAGCAACTAACCACTCAGTACTAGCAATCCCTGTGAATCCTTCACCCACAGAAATCACAGGGATTTTCACTTCACAGTATTGCTGATATAGTGACTTAAAATATCACCTTTGTTCTCTACGACTTCAAAATTAAGGTGGCTATTAGACTTGCTGCTAGCTTTTGTTATTTAATGTGTTCATAGAGAAGCATTTGTAGCTGGGTGCCAATGGCTCATGCCTGTATTCTAGCTACTTGACAGGCTGACACCAGGAGGATCACAGTTTAAGACTGGCTCAGGCAAAAAAAGTTTGTAAGACTCCATCTCAACAGAAAAAAAGCTGGGCGTGGTGGTGCATATCTGTCATTCCAGTAATGTTGGGAAGTGTAAAATAGGAGCAACTGTGGTCCAGGGTGGCCTTGGCAAAAACCAAGACCCTATCTCCAAAGTAACCTGAGGAAAAAAAGATTAGAGGTATGGCTCTAGTGGTACAGCACTTGCCTGGCAAGTGTAAAGTCCTCGGTTCATATCCTAGTACTGCCAAAAAATATATATATATATGTGACCATATCACAAGTTTAACATTTTGAAAACTGTATTTCCATATAATTGGAGTTTAAAATGTTATGTGGTGTATGTCAGTGCAAAAATGAGACCTGTTGAAACTATTCCAGGAATGGGGGCGGGGAGACAAAGGAAAATGATGGAGGGGGTGAATTCAACTATGATATATTTGATACATTGTAAGAACTTTTGTGTCACAATGTATCCCTACCCAGTACAACAATAAAAAGTAAGTAATAATAAGTATTCAAAGACTATGATTCTGAACAAAAGAACATCTTCTCAGGGGCACTTCGAAAACTGAACACTTGAAGTGAATGTTGTTATTTTATCAAAATGTAAATTACTCGTTCACAATACAACATTTGAAAAATGTTTTCTCTTAATAAAAATACCGTAACTTTAAAAAATAATTGATAGTGGTAATAAATGTTATTGAAATATATCAAAAAATAAATAAATATAATAAAAAACATTATGCAAGCTCGGCCGGGGTGGAGTTCAGAAGTACAGTGCTTGCCTAGCATGTACAAAGTCATTGGTTCCATTCCCAGAACTGCCAAAAAAAAAAAAAAAGCCAAGAAGCGTTCTACCAAAGTTTGGATATGGTCTTGGTCCCCAATGCAATGGTACTGAAGAGGTGGGTCTTTAACAAGTTGGGTCTAAGGGGAGGTGGTTAGCTCACTTACTGGGGACCCGACCCTTGGAAGGGGTTAGTGCTTGTCCCCAGGGTCTCACAGGACTGGAAGGGTTACTAACACAAGTAGGTTATTAAGCGAGTTCAACTTTCTCAGCTGGCTCTCTTGCTGTGTGACCCCTCTCTTCCACACAAGCTGCTTGTCACTCTCAAATGTGTTACCACCATGAGACACCATCCACCATGCTGATGACTCAGCATGAGACCCTCACCCACTGTAGTCAGTCAACAACAGCTGGACGGTCTCGGGGTATTTTGTTATAGCAACACAAAACGTACTAGACAGGTGCACAGGTCTCACAGATGTCTATGGGCTCCCTGGCACAGACCAGGACAAGGCCTTTGTATCACAATGCGGAGCCACTTCTGGATAGGGCCACACTTACAAGCTCCCAGCAGGAGGTCTGCTTCTCTCCCCACCCTAACCTCCAGCACAGGGCCAGGCATCCAACAGATGCTCAGGTCAAACTTAGCCAGGCAGGTCACTCTGGCTACCGAGGGCCTCAAGGAACCTGGCCAGCAACCCCCACCCCATCTCCCTCTCTTCTTAGGAGGATGGGGAATGGCGAACACACACAAGAATAAGAGAGGAGGGCTGTGTGGACTCAGGACTGAGCCTGGAGAAGAGCCAGGGAGGGCAAAGGGACGGTCAGGGACCATCTGGCTCACCCCACCCCCAACCCCCAGGGCCATCACGAGGTCTTTGTTCAGGAGCACAGGGTTCACATCAGAGCAGAACGGACTTTTGACCAAGTCTGTGACTCCTCCAGACACTTTCCCTCCAAGGCCCAACAGGTCACACCCAGGGCAGCTCGCCTGCTGCTCCCTGCAGCTTCCTGGGAGCCACTCAGGCAGGCAATGAGAGACAGCGCTTCACCTTCCTTGGAGTTCTGCCCTCCTTCCTCAGTCACTGAGTGTCTCCCAGAAAACCAAGACTTAGAGCAAATGTCCTGTTCATTCATGTGGCATATTTCAACAAGCACCAATCACAGAGTGGCCCCAGACTAGCCGTGGGGGTACAAGCTGAATTGGTTCCAGTAGGAAAAATATCCCAGCCACAGGGAGAACTGGGGTTCTCTGGAGTTCAGAGCAGGAAACCTACACTGGGAAGTCAGAAAATGCTTCTGGGAGGAGCCACCTGTGCTGGGACTAAGAGTGTGTGAACAATCTTATAAACACACAGCAGACAAGCACATTCCAGGCCCATTCCAGGTGAGTGGGCCTGGAGCAGAGAGGTTTCAACCTGTCTGTGGAGGCAGCGTATCTCTCACCAATAACAGGGATGAGGGCCCCCTCGGTGGGGGGATCAATGGAGGGTGAGGGTGACCTCAGAGCAGACCCCTGGGAGCTGGGGGACCCTCTGTCTCAAACCGGAAGTCCCTGCCCAGGCTGGCAGGACACAGCAGGAACAACCCTGACACACTCCCCACAGGAGCACTGTTAAGTGCCCACTGAGATGCTTCTGAAGGTCTCCATGGCTCCCCAACTCGTATGGGGATACATCCCAACCACCTGGGACTCTCTAGGGCCTCCCCTGCCACAGACTCTAGTAGGACTCTGTAGGCAACCAAAGCCACCTCTCCAGGAGCCTGTGGCTATGTCTTGGTGGCTCATAACTGACACTCTGATCTCCAGTGTGTGCAGCGGGCTCCTCCCTTTAAGAAAGCCATTGAACTCTAAGTGCCCGAGGGAAGCCCCACACCACGGTGGAGTGGCTCTTCCCAAGGAGGCTCCGACCAGCTGTGGAAGCTCCTCAAACCCGTCAGGTCTCCCTTCCCATAGTGTACCTCTCCCAGCAGAGATTACTGTTTCCCCCTCACGCACCCTGTGTGAGGGTCACAGAATCAGCTCTGCTACCAGTTCCAACCATCAACCTGGCTCCTGTACAGGAGAGGAGCAGGCCTTAGGCCAGGATGGAGCCCTGAACCCAAAGGCAGCCCCTGGAACTCCCTGGGACCACGTGGCCACCCCAGACAGAGAGACATCAGCCTACCCCTTTAAGTGCTCACTCTGCTCCTTATACAGTTGCAGGCTGGTTCAAATCTCTCATCCTAAGCTCCTTCACACCCAACTGGGACTTTGTCTGCACAGTTGTCTACCTGAAGTGTGTCTCATCGCTTAAGGTCTAACACAAGGGTCATCTACCTAGTCATCTCACTCTCCCGATCTCAGAGTCCCAGCCTCTCCTTTGACACATACCAAAAACAGAGACAGACAGACACAGAGTCTTGTGTCCCTCCATCTGTCCCAGTGGCCTATGAGCACCTAAGAGCACTGGTGCTATTTCTGGAACACAACAGGTTCCCACTGTTTGATTTGAACACTGGAAACTCTCCCAACCTTGGGAGCCAACTGAACACTCTTTTTTTTTTTTTTTTGCGGTACTGGGGTTTGAACTGAGGGCTCACACCCTAAGCCTCTCCATCAGCCCTTTTTTGTGATGGGTTCTTTCAAGATAGGGTCTCGAGAACAATTTGTCTGGTCTGGCTTTGAATCACGATTCTCCTGATCTCTGCTTCCTGAGTACCTAGGATTACACACGTGAGTCACTGGCACCCGGCTAGGAGGATTCACTTCTTTGCCATTCTCCCCACTTCCCAAAAGGAGAGGTGCATTTGTCCACTAGTTTCCCCATTCTGATCTCGGTTCCCACCCTGGTATCTGGGGAGCTGCCCTTCCCTACCCCTACTTTTCCTAGCATCCTGTACCACCAGGTTGACGCCTCTCCCACTGAACTCACAGCCTAGGGGCAAATCCCAACCCGGTGTGGTGGTGCACATCTATAATTCCAGCACTTGGGAGGTTCAGGCAGGAAGATCTCCAGTTCTAGGCCTTCCAGTCCCGCAGGACAAAGTCTGGAGAGGCTATCTGTGGCACCACACCCTCTTGCCCAGTGATGCACCCCACTCTTTCCTGTCCCCAGAATACTCTGAACTGTCTTTATCTCTCAACCTTTGTTCAGACGATCCCTCATCTGGGACACTCTTCCCAACCCTTGGGTGCGCCCATCTTCCCACACTTCCTCCCACCAGGATCACTCAACCTTTCATCCTGCAGAATTATGGGGTACCTACTGTGTGCAAGGCTCAGTGTGAACCAGAGAAAGGTCCTGCCCTTGCATTCTACATGGGGAGGAGACAAGCACAAATAAACGCACCCAACAGTTTATCAGGTGGGAAAGAAGGGCTATAAAGAGCAAGCCCAACCTGGGAAAAGGATGGATGCCACGCCCGCCTGAAACTGTCCCCTCCGGGAAGCGCTCGGGCCACGCCCCCTCCCCATCTGAGGGGCGTGGCAGAGAGCACGGCTGGGGTCGCAGCCCCCCAGGGCCTGTGGACAGCGGGGACAGTGGAGGGGAGCTGCGGGGCACCAGCGCTGGCCCTGGCTCGGAGCGAGCGTGCAGCTCACCCCCCCGCCCCGCGCTCAGACGCTGGGCGCGTGGCGCTCAGACGCTGGGCGCGTGGGCAGAAGTAGCGAGGCCGGCCGCATTCCGGGGGTCCGTCACCCACTGTCCAGCCCAGAACACCGAGGTCCCCTCTTCGCGCCCGCGGGCAGGAGCGAGGGAGAGGAGCAGAACTCACCGTGCGGCGGACGCCATGTTCACTCGGCACGAGCGTCACGTGAAGTCAGGCGTCAGCTGAACTCTGCTAGGTCCCAATGTGGAGGGGCGGGGCCGGGGCCGGGGGCGGGGCCGGGGCTGGGGGGCGGGGCCTAGGGCGCGTTCGAGGAAGGTTCTAGGGGGCGGGGCCGGGGCGGAGCCTAGGGCGCGTTCGAGGAAGGTTCTAGGGGGCGGGGCCGGCCGTAGGAGGCGGGGCCCAGAGCACGTTTGAGGCAGGACCTGGGGGCGGGGCCGGCCGCAGTGGGCGGGGCCAGGGCGGAGCCCAGGCCGTGTACGAGGCAAGGTTCAGGGGGCGTGGCCGGGTGTGAGGGGCGGGGCCAGGGCCGCCTGTCCCGCCCCCTCCGGCGCTGGTCTTCTGTCCACTCCGAGAGGCGGAGCTCTGAATAGGGTCGGGAAGATTAGTGCACGGAGCTCTAGCTGCAGATGCACGAGGCTGGACCCGAGCAGCATCCGATACCTTTCCACCGTGGGAAAGGAGGATCCTGAGGCAGTGGACACCTTGACTCTGGGACAAAGAACACATAGGGGTGGGGAGGGGACTCCGGCCCAGGTTGGGGAAAGAGAGGGTCTTGAGAAAAGGCTGGGGCAGTGACAGGAACTGAAACCTTCAGGGTCCAGGAGCCGGAGCTTTGTGAGAGAGGTGCATGCTCAGCCAGGCCATGTAGGGTCTTGAATATGGGTCTGGTAGGATCTTTTCCAAGCTCCCTGGAATACAGAATGAAGAGCCTGGAGGAGGGGATGGCCGGGAGGAGGGTTGAGGAGAAGTGAACAGTGGAGAGGGCAGAGGAGAGCTTTGGTGTTGGTATACAGTCCTGTGGGGGAAGGGCATCAGAGGACAGATGTTCTCCCTCCCCACTGCCAACAGGTTTGGGCCACTTGTGTGGTTGAAGTCTCAGAAACGCTGTGAGGTAGGGACGACCCTTGATACCATTTTACAAATGAGAAAACTGAGGCCAGGAGAGGTAAGGGACATGCCTGAGCTCACATAGCTCCAGGTGTCCTTGGGGACGTGGACCACACACACACACACACACACACACACACACATTATGTAGTGTCTGAGAAAGACTTAATTCCTGATGAAGGGCAGTTTTTTTGTTGTTTTGGTTTTGGTGGTTCGGGAGGTTTGAACTCGGGGCTTCATGCTAGCTAGGCAGGCGCTCTACCACTTGAGCCACTGCACTAGCCCAAAGGGCACTTTTTAAAAATAACAAAGGATGAGCAGAGGGGTCTTCACGCCCATCTCCTGCATGGGGAGCAGGACATGTTTCTTCTTTTTCCCCTATTTCTCCCCATTTTTATCCTGTTATAGTAAATTCCTTTCCTAATAAACTTTACTATTACTTTCGCTACAAAAAATAAAGGAAGAAGAAGAAGAAAAGGATAAGCAGAAAGCTATTGTGGAAGGAAAACCTGCCCCCAGCTAATCACAGCGCCAACATTTCTTTTGACGTACAATATGCCAAAATGAAGCCCACTGCCAGCTCTGAATGGTTACTAATATGTAAAAGAAGTATTTACAAAATAACGGGGAGAAGGGGGAGAGCACCCTTGTCCTGAGCGGTAATAGGGAGGCACTGCTGGCCACTTCTGCCCAATCAGACCCATCTGGATAGTGGCCTTCTACGCAGGACCCTTCCTGCCAATAGTGCCCTATGCCTGGCACCCCTGCCCCTCCCACCACAGGCTCCAGGAGGGCTACCCCTCCCCCACTCCCGCCCATAAGCGGTTCCAGCAAGCCTGCCAGCTCCTCCACTACTCTCCATCAGAGGCTCCACCATGCCTCCCTCCCCTCCCCCTTCCCCATCAGAGGCTCCGGAGAGGCCGCCCCCTCCCCCTGCTCCTACCCATCAGAGGCTCTGGCAGGGGATCCGGGAAAAGCCGATTGCTTACGGTGTGGGAGAAGATTGCGTAGTTACTCATGCAGGGCAGACCCGGATGCTGCTGGGAGCCAGGAGGCAATTGGGGAAAGATTGATTTTAGAGAGTCGAAGCGCAAGTGCGTAAATCAACCGAGGAAGAACGCCAGGCAGAGAAAGCTCGTACCTCATACAGCGCGGCCTGGCGTTGGAGGTCACCGCCACTGGTGAAACAGTCTGCCCTTGCGACGGTTTACAGGTGGCTAGGAAGTGTCTGTGCTGCCGCTAGTCCAGTAGGTAGACCATCTTTACTCTCCAAAAGCCTGCCCCAACCAGACACCTGCAAAAGGAGCTCCTTCCTGGGCAGACTCCTTTGTCCCTGTGACACTGTATTGGCAGGTGGCCAGGGCCCACCCACCCTTCATCTAGGCACCACTCCCTTGCAGTGCCACAGACCCTACTAGCCAGTGGCTGGCTGGAGATGGCAGCCCAGCCCCACTCTGACTCATGAACCATCTTTGCCAGCCATGTGGGGCTGTCCCCTTGAAGAGCTATAATTTGGGCCCACCCTCTTCTGTTGCATGTCAAGGGCACTGGTCTGCCAGAAGCTCTGTGAGACCACACTGGAGCAGTCTGGATGCTGGCTCTGGTCCCAGGCTGCCGAGCTGTGGCCCATGGTGGCACCCTGTGACTGAGCACGCCATCAGGGATAGGGGTCCGACCCTGCATGGCTGATCTTAGGTCTTGGGGCAGAACAGAAAGTGGAGACTTTGTATTGCCCTCAAGGAGCCCACCATCTGGGAGGGCCGAAGAGCAGGCTCTGTGCCGCTGTTTGGCTGGTGGGTAGCAAAGGGGCTCAGACAGGAAGGTGCGGGATCCAAGCCCAGCTCTTGGGCAGGAACTGAGGAGGGTTGGAGCTGGGGACTGAGAAAAGCCAGGAGAGAATGGAGCACTGGGCTCGGAAAACCAGCATCACTGTTCACAAAAGCCAAGCTATGGAAACAACCCTGATGCCTTACAGCTGATGAGTGGATCAAGAAAATGTGATATACAGATATATGTATGTGTGTGATATATAGATAGATAGATATCACATACAATGGAGTTTTACCCAGCCATAAGTAAGAATGACACCATGTAGCTTGAAGGGCAATGGATGCAATTGAAGGACATCATGTTAAGTGTAGTGAACCAGGCTGAGAAAGACAAAGGCCACCATGTTTTCTCTCACATGTGGAAGATAGGTCCAAAGATAAACATACACAAAACCAAGCATGATCACACACATTATATAGACATGTTTCTAATAGTGGAATTACTCTATGGCACTCAGGAGAGGAGGGAAAGGAAAAGAGAATGACAGAGTCAACAATACCAAAGTGCATTAGGGCTGGTGGAGTGGCTCAAGCAGTAAGGGCGCCTACATAGCAAGCTTGAGGCTCTGAGTTCAAACCCCAGTGCTGAAAAACAAATAAACAAAAAGCAATGAAATGCATTACATCTGTGCAGGTAGAGGACACAACAATATGTACTGAAAGCTGTTGAATAATGGGGGGGGTGAGAGAGAAGGTGTAAGGGAGAGTAATAGAGGACGTTAGATGGACCAAGGTAAAGTATATTCACAGCTGGGATACATCAAGAAACCCCTTTGAACACTGCCTTTGGAATGAATAATGAAAGACAGGACTATAAAATAGGTACAGTGAGGGGGTGCTTATGGGAAGGGGAGGGAGAATGAAGGAGATGAAGGTGAGGGAATTTGGCAGATGGACTTCATCTATGAAGCAGAACAATGAAAGCTCTTGCAATTGCTTTAAGTGGGGCGGGGAGGGGGCTGCAGAGGGGTTGATGGTAGGGCCAATCTAACCAGTGCACAATGTAAGACTATTCCGAATTGGTACAATGAATCCCCTGCCCAGTGAATATAGCCTAATAAACATGAAAGAAAAAGAAAAGAAAACCAGCATCAAATCGACTGCAGAGAAAGCACAGGAGGGATGTGCAGAGGGTGTGTGACATGTAGGGGACGAGCATGACATGGCCAGGTAGCTGTCTTTTCATCACAGTACTGACAGGTCCTAGCCCTCAACCTCTGCAGCGTCAGTGGCTGTGACAGCCACAACTCTCCCAGTCCTAAGGCCTGCAGTGTCCTTCAGGGCCACACTCCAACCATGACCATCAGCCCTCCCAGAGGAGCCCCATATCAATCCTGCTCCTCTTCCTCTCCCTCCTCCACCCAGCCCACCTGGACATCCATCTTCCTACAGAAAAGAGGTGGACGGTAGCCAAGGGGCCTTTCCTGGGAAGCCCCCGTCACCACCTCAGATGAAATGGTCCCCGCTGTGTGCTTCGCCAGGCTCTATGAGGCAATTCCAGATGAGAAATGGAACGGTGGCTTCAGAATGGCAAATCATTCCAGCAGCACGTTCAAATCATTGAAGGAAACAAGCTCTTTTTTGTGTGTGTGAAAATGGGGAATATATTGTTTTTCACTGTTTGGAAGACCATTTTCTCATGTCGAAATCACAAGCTGCTTTCTTCCAGCGAGACGTATAAATACATCCAATTATCAACATTCAATATAGAAATAAAGTTCTGAAATTGTTTTCTTCCACACGCACGGAGTGGGCGGCCAGGTTGCACAGGTGATAATTACTTTATTTCTGCGAGCTGTGCCGGTGCAGGGTGGCTGGCGGCTCCTTTCATTGCCTCCAACCTCTTATGTCTCCCATGCTGTGCTGGGCCATTCACTGGTGTAACTTTATCACCCCATTTCAAGATCTTGACAAAAATTGATGAAATTTCTAGTTTCAAAAGTTTGTGTGCTGAGTCCCAGAACGGGGGAATTTGGTTCTGCAACTCGTGTCCTGTAGGGAAACCCCCTGAGGGGGATGGAAAGTCCCTTTGCACGGTTCCAAGCCACTGAATGTCTCTAAAGGGACAATAGGTCTCCACTGGCATTTACAACTGTCCCTTTTGGGGACTCCCATCAGGGTGACTTTTTTTTTCTTTTTTGAAATACTGGGGCTTGAACTCAAGGCCCACACCTTGAGTCACTCCACCAGCCCCTTTTGTGTGTGCGTGTGTGCGTGCACGCGCGTGTGTTAGGTATTTTTGAGATAGGGTC